ATATTTATTCACACTAAGTATTTAGCTGAACAAAAAAAAAAAACGATCGAACAGGATAAGTAGAAAAGTAAATTATATATTCAGACAAAAGAAAGTTCAAATGTAAATGATATACACGTACGGTGGATCAACGAGTGTAAAGCAAAAAGGTGGAGTGAGCGGTAGAAATAGATCGCACATTTGAGCAAGAAAAATTCTTGTTTATACTATACTTCCAGACAGTGCCAATAAAAACAGGTAAGAATACCTACCACCATTTATTTATCAAGTTTCGGTAGGATAAAACTGATGCTGCAAATCATTATTATTATGCTTTGGTCTTCATTATCGATTTTTATCGTTCAATTTCCGTCGGGAAAAGTTTAAATCGATTAATTGTTGTTTATTGCGGTTGATATTAACTCTTGTACTGTTTCACAACTAATAACAGATTTTTCTCTACGACTCTACTCGTCCCACCAACTCAAAATATCGTCCTCCAGCTGAAGCGATTCCGTCTCGCAGTCAATGTACACCTACATTTACGCATGAGTTTTTGCATAAGCAATCTTCAAAATACGCCCATTTTTCATTCCCAGTGGGACACAGCACGAAAAAGAGTTTCTTCTGTATCGTTCGCACAAAGCAACAATGCTGCGGGTGAATGCTCTTTGTTTAGCATAATACTCGACATTTTTGTTGCTGGAAAAAAAATTTTTGGGTTAGGTGTCAGTATTTCGCCTATCTTCGATCCACAGATAACCAAGCTGTAAAAAGAACACAAGCTTAGATATGTACGTGTTCTACACGTTGTGTTGGAACCATCTGCCGGTTTCATTTTTATATACTTAGTATTTAAATATATTTTTAGTGCTTTTTATACATTTCCTAATAGCAACTTGTATGGAATATATAGAATTTTATATTCAGTTCCTTTAATAACCATAAAAATGCACAGATGTTCTTTACAAGGGCCCCTTGTAAATTTTAAGTAAGTGGTTGATGATTAGAATTGCAAATTTATTTAGTTTGCGTCTAAGTCTTTCTCATGTGAAGGAAATATCTATTATTGACTTGCATAAAAATATATTTTATACTATATAATATATTTTATTACTATTATTTATTTAGGCAGAGAAATAAATTCTAAAACTAAAGTCTTAGTATCTGAAGCTATTGGCTTTGTTGAAAGTTCTACCACACTTGAGATTCGAATCCACAACAAGCAAGTTGTGAGTCGAGATCCTTGTTTTAACTTCAAACTCATAAACATTAGATATCATAGGCATTAAATTTGATGATATCTTATATGAATACTTCACTAACTTTGAAAAACCAGAAGTAGAATGAATCGATAAAATTGCCAGTTTAAATTTTTTTTTAAACATGTCCAGCGGGCGAGAAAAAACGATGTTTTCATGTATACGACTTTTACAGGCTTTGTTAAAAAGTATTTTAAATAATTTTGATTGCGGGGCTGGCTTCTGAAATAAATTATTTATGATTAAAAAAAATTTTGTCAGTTAAAGTTTTGAGTGCTTATTATTGAGAACATTTTCTTTTCTTTTTGAATATGTATGGTTGGAAGAAAATCATGGGCTTTGCCTTAAACAATTCAGAAAGTGGAGTTAACTGATATGTTACGTGAAGCATTCCATACATAAGCGTGCCCGCTTAATGCGGTTAATTCTTACCATGCTGTATAGAAACTGTGTTATATCGAACATATTTATTTTCCTATTTAATCTAAGATATCGTATAGAAAAATTTTATATTGCTATATATCAAAACGGCGCTTTACCAGTGCCGCTGTAAGAGGGGGACCCATTGATTATAGTTAAACTTTGTCTTTTACTTAACTGGAAAACTGGCAATAATTGCTGATAAATGGATTAGGTAAACTTCTCGAAAGGTATATATTAAAAGACTGTTGGAGGAGGTTTCATTGTCTGAACTGATTATTCGGATCAATTTGTTTTGTATGGGATCGCGAATATTGGACCAGAATGGTCATAGAATAACAGTCTATTGTGGACACTTTCCATGCTGGAACTGTTGCACTCAGTTGTTATCACTTAATTGATTTTTAATATTTTATAATCAATTTATCGTTTCGCCAGTTCGTAAATTTATTTTTCTAACTTCGGTAAATCAACTCCGTAAATAACTTAGTACATCATTCTGGGTATTTTAATCGGCGATCATCCCACTGATTTGAAAATAACGCGGTTCACCAATGACAGCATACAATTTTTCATACGAATTTTTTGTTCTTGCAAGAATCCAAAGAAAAAAATTTTTCTTCTGGTTCTATTTTTGAATGTGTCCCACAGAAACTTATGTATACAGCTGCAGTTGAAGGAGAAGCCCAGTTAATAAAATCTAATTCGCGAAGGCTAGAAATTTGGTAAATGTACGGAAAAACATTTTCTTAGTCATCATTCTGACATAGAGTGTGTGTTTTAAGTTTTGTGTAGCTTGACGTCAAGAATTACATAAGCAATTTTTGAAACCAAAAAACATGCGCTAATAAGGGACATTGTAACAACAAAAAACCAACAGAGGCCATTAATAACGAAGGAAACTGTTCATTTGAATCAAACCAGACGGTTATACTAGACATACTTGATCTATCTACCTACGACCTCTATCTAAGAAATAAATTTGCATAGCGTTAACGTTCCATGGGAAATTATACTTTTTGAGTTGAACTGTTAACTGTAATGGTTACTTCTCTGAGACGTTGTATCATCATAATTGTCGCACGAAATATAGAAATCATAGAGAAAATGCCTTTTAGAACGAGAGGAGAAAAGTGGAAATCATTCTCACTTTGTGGCATCATTGTTACTTTGTGGCATCAACTATGAATGTTCTAATTATTGAAAATCTGTTTTTTTTATAACTTACACGACCCACGGTATATGAAGTGTTTGCGATTGTATGTAATATCCAGAATGAGGTAAGATTAACTGGCCTTTTGTGGTATCGAGCAACTTAGAATCTTTTTTGAGCCTGCCTGCCCGTTATGTCTTTTTCAAAAAAACATTTCGTCCGTTCGATTGGGCCAATTTTGATGCCTATCTCGATACCGCGTTTATTTTTGAAAACAGGTCATATAGAAATGAAATTGGTATATTAAAAATTTTTGGACTCAAACATCTTAGTGATAGGGATTGCTGTCGAATGGGGCAATTTTTTGAGTCCCCTTCTGGGAAAACCAAATCTTCTTAGGGCAATAACGTCTAATTTTCAATATTTCGTGGTGAAAATTCGTCCAGAATATCAATTGATTATAAAAAGTAACTGTACCTAATGTAAGTCACGTAGCCTAAAACTAATAAGCGTTCTAGTGAAAATAAACCTTTAAAACTTCTAGTTTTTAACATTTTATGAGAAATCGGGATCAGTTCATCATAGAAATTTGCAAGGTTTGGATCACACAGGCACATTTTAAGCATCGCATCCTGCATAAGGATTCCCATGAACAACCAGTCCTTTTTTAGCTTTTTATGACGAAAATAGATGACGAACAGTAAAATCTTTAACAAGAAAATTAAATTTGTTTACTCTTCGGTATCCCGCAATATAATGATCTTCATGCGGTTACATGGAAACAGAGCGGAATTTCTGATGAAAATCAATTAGTCATTGCATGAGGCCAAGATATGTATCTACTGCTATCATGTTTCTACATGTTTTCTACTAATTCTTGAACTGAAAACAAATTTATAGATTTGTAAATTTTTTTTTTAAAAAACATTTGCTAATAATTAATATAAAATTTGTTCTTCTATTTTGCAGTTTTGAAATCTACCAGCAAAACTTTTCATGTGTGTCTTTCTAGATAAAAAAAAAGAAAAAAACTCTGCTTATAACAAAAGCCCCAGGTCTAAGAAATGCTTAAAATTTAAATTCAATATTAAAAAAAAAATCACTTGTCCAAAGCAATTCTCAATATTATTAAGCATTTTAAATCCAGGCACTAGACCCTTGATATTGGCTCAAAAACGTTACAAGTTATCGCCTAGTTTTACGCGAAATTGATTAATAAGAAGAATTTTTCCCGCACTGCAAATTTTCGAATCAATTTTTCGGCTCTATGCCGACAAGCACGGCAAGTACAAGATAAATAAAGCTTTTCCTTCAAATGTTTTTCGGTTATCGGTGGTATTCACGTGTTTGTCATTCTACAATCATACTTCAAGAGAAATATGATTCAGACGCGGAAATACTGAGCGATCAAATTGCTCTGCAAAGAACGCGAATGCAAAAAATAAGGCTTTTCAGGAATATTTTTTAGTTGCTGTGCACGCCGTTGTGATCGAAACGATACGTTTCAACGCTTTACTGAGCTTAATTCCGACATTTCCATTTACTTGCTCCCTATTAACTCTTTACTTTGTGCGAATAAAAGCAAAAAGACGAACATGATTAAAACTATTTATATAATGCCACTCGGTCCAAAAAAAAAAAATGCAAAAAATTTTATGGTTATCGGAGTTATATATCGTATCTATCTTTTGGTTATGGTTAGAGAAACCGTCATCCACAGCCAGAGGTAGGCCTGTAGTACGCGAGGGAAAACGGTTCGGCATTACTGTCTAAAATATTTGAGAGATATGAAGCATTTCTGTATAATTGCGTAGAGTTGAGTGTATGTGCAATTTAAATAGGCATTAATTATATGTAAAAACAAAACCTATACAAGCATCTGGAGAATGAGTTTCCAAAAACCACCAAAAACAAAAAAAAAATAACAAAAAAAACTACATGCAATCATTTTGTTTCTCAAACATATTTCAATGTTGGTGCTGTTGTTGTTTTTATTATCAATGATAAAATATATGGATGTTGTAGGTAATGTATCGTACACACAACAAATAGAGTCTACACAATAATAATATTATAGTATAAATATAAATAAATACTCAAATGGTGTCTACGTATGAGAGACTCACCTGAAGTCAGTTACATACGAAAACTAAGCTTCCAATTCAGTATCGAAACGGACTTCGAACAGTGAAAACTTATAAGACATAAAAAACAATTTGCAATAATAAAAAAAATAAAAATTCGTATCCGTAAAAAAAAAAAATTCATTTTTTTGCTTTTTTAATAAAAATTAAACCAAAATCCAAGTGAATGTTTATTAATGTGCTTAAGGTTATTCGGTGAAATCAAAAGAAAACGAAAAGAAAAACTCAAACTATATATAACAAAAAATAAAGAAAAAATGGTTCAAGTGACTTTAAAATCGTTAACGAAACCATTTGATTTTAATATAAAATGGAAACAACTTTTCCATATGTTTTATATCGAACCCATACTATACGTTTTGGTGTTTTCGCACAGTTTATCAGGTAAAGTGGAAAAAAGAAATATTAATTAATTATTTTTCTACTTTAATTCTCTAATGATTTCCAATTCTTTTCCATTCACTCCCACTCGTTTCCATTTAGGTACGATAATCAAAAATGAAATTATTTTTCTATTTTAATTCTGTAATAATTTTTAAATCTTTTCCATTCACTCCCACTCGTTTCCATTTAGGTACAATAATGAAAAATGAAATTATTTATCAAACATGCATTGTCGTGTATCAGTATAATGAAAGTGATTGCATAAAATTGGGTACAAGAAATATTACTGGTTATTTACAGGTAAGTAGATAAATCAATCGAAAAAACAAAATAACAAAAATAGTTTTTATATTCTAAATAAATTTGTTATTATTCAGGAAATTGAAACAGAAGTTCAGCCCTACGCAGCCGACTTAAGCATGATGCGAACACTGCTTGAAAGTATTGTGCCTTTATTTTGTGGTGTCTTCGTTGGTTCATGGTCAGATCATTATGGACGCAAGCCATTGCTGTTAGTATCTATGATAGGTAAGATGTTATGGGAATGTTTTTAATACATTGAGAGAGCGAGAGAGAAAGAGAGAAAGAGAGAGAGAGAGATAGAGAGAGAGAGAGAGAGAGAGAGAGAGAGAAATAGTTAGAGAATAGTCAAGAAGTTGCTCAAATATTGGCTCTAAAGCTTTAATAACTCATGAATCGCAGCATAGTAGTCTTATTATTCCCTGCCCCTCGGCAGCTTCTTGAAAAAATTTGCCTTTGGCATATTGATCCTTTTGAAGTGTAGAAAACGTTTTTGGGAAATGTCTAGGTTAAAGTTACATAACGGGACAAAGATACTAATCTATTTTCGTTCCGTACCAAAGAGGTAATGGTATCCTATCCTATATTGCTTAGCGAAAAAGGCAAAAATTGTTTCTGTAAAGATTCGATTGATTCAAACCTGTTGACAATAGGATGGACGCTACGTAACCTAGACAAATTTCCTTTCCCTAATTCCATAAGTCCCTGTCAAACTTTTAGTTTTGCTTAAGAACTATTCAAACGGCGACTACGTGAGGAAGCCAGTCGACGTTCATCCGACAATTTTTACCAGAAAGTAGTAGAATTGAAAATTTTCATTACGACAATGCAAGAAGATCCTGAATCAGAGTCTGCATATAGGTATAGGCGCTTGCTAATCGAAATTTTGAACAGTTATTTTCAAAATCATATTTGGTTCCCTTTTTTAAAAAACGCTTTCTTCTTATACCAACCGCCCAACGTCGAAAAAAAGCTTATTATATTAACACGTTTGCAAAATCCTGCGAAAAGTTTCAGAGCTCCTATAAGTTATATCGAACATTTATCAGTAACAAATTCTGAATCGACTTAAGCATATCTGTCCATCCTTCGGTATGCCGGTTCGTGGTAAATTCGCTATTCGTCATAAAAGTGAAAATATTGCTTTCAAATTGGCAATAGTATGAAAGTTCGTGCAGGTAAGTTGGTATTAGAAGGGGGTCAGATCGGTTGAAGAATACGCTCCCAACACAACGTAAACTGAAAACATATCTGTTTCCGAATGCAAAATCAACCGACCTTATTGCCTCCAACAGGTGGAATATAAAAATTTCCAGGTATACCCTTCAAAGTCTGCACAAAAAAGAAAAAGTCGGCCATGGCCATCCAATTTTTCAGAGTGTCGAAATAAAGTTTGGTGGGCACAAAACATTCGATGTTACCAGGAGATCTGTTATATTTCGAAAAGCCTTGGAGAGAATTATCCATAAATTATTGTTATGGGTACTCTGCACCTCCAGCTTTCCTTCGTACTTGATTCAATGGTTATCGTCCCGCCTTCGCGATACTTATACAGTTATTTTGATTGATGAAATTCGCACCACGTCAAATGTCGTTCAGGGGGTAAAGTAAGGCCTATACAGTTTGCCCAATTACACAGTTTGTCTACACGACCACGATTAAAACATTCCGTAGCTTCTAAACTAAATGTAGTCCATTCGCTTCCCTTAACGTAAGAAAAAAACGCTTTCAAGATGAAATTCATTCTTAGTTGAATACTTCATTGAGTTAAAAACAATTTAGAATGGCGCAGCATGTTCATTTACTTTGAGAACCGCTTGTCCTAATTTCTTATATTTGCCTTCCTATGACAGAAACCCTACGCAACTAGGAACAAGACTGCCCACTTTCCGGGACGTAAGTTAGTCCAAAATCGATACGAGTAGTCGAATAGATAAGAATAGCGACTACCAAGTTAAGAGTGCTTAGTCGGTAAAGCATAATACTTATCGATTGGACACGCACCCACTAAGCTATGGCCACCACCTCCTTATCCCTTTCTCCCTGTCCTTACATCTTTCTTACCGTCATCGTGTTACCCGAATAGTGGACATCCCCTGTCACGTAAAAAAAAAGAAACAAGAAAGAAAGTTATATTCGGCGGGGACCGAATGTTGAAACCCACAAGTATTTTTTTCACATTCTACACTCCAAGTTCTTTTATTTGACATCCATATCTCTGGTATTATTAAGATAAAATTAGTTCATTTTAAAATTAAACACAATTTTTGAGATATTTTGATCAAGTTTGGTACCAGTGTACTGACAAGCTTTGATGTAAAGACGAACGCTACTGAAAATGGTCTGGATAGGTACACTTTACAACGCCCCGATTTGAAAATTCACTATATGGAAAAAAACCGCAATATCCAAAATTTCGCGACAAAACTCGCTCTGTAATAGAATTCGGACATTCTAAATTGTTATGAAAAATTTAGTTCGGCTAGGTCAATTTTTTGATTCCCCTCTCTTATAACCGTTCCTACGAAAAGCGAATCATTATATAGTAAAAATGTATAATTTTTAATATTTCATGATGAAAATTAATTCATTATAATAAATTGGCAAAAAAATCAGGCTTGTCGCATTTAAAACACGTAGGTCTAATTTTTGGATACCACTGCATACAGGCATTCTACCAATATACGGGCTTTCAAAAAAAAGTATGCCTTTGCATTAAAATAGAGTACAGTTTTTGGTGTGTTGTTACCAAAACGAGCGAATAACTGCATTAGGGCAGGTGGTGTAAGGTATCTAATAGTTGGCCTTGGCCTTCTGTAACTTTGTTAGTTGTCTTATGTACAGTTTTTAAACAATTTGATTTTTAAAACAAATAAAATGACTACAGTGAGCCACAGCCTATGATTAAGTAACCTACACCATTTCGTTTAGTACACCTTCTCACAAAATGATATTTCAAAACACAGCCTTATCTGGCACGTAGTCATAAAAGTGGCCCGATCCAAAACATAGTGTTCATGCTTTGGCCAAAACACGTCGATGTACCAAATTTCATCAAAATATTTGAAAGATAGCAACCTACAGATTGAACACAAGAAAACAAGACAGGCAGACGCATAGACAATGTAAGATATAATAAAAGGTGGGTCTACCTCAAATCCTTCCGTATGATGCATACATCTGCACAAACTTGTGTATATGTTTATAATATTCTTTAACTTTTAATATTAATTATTTTTTTAATATTTTGACAATGCTTGCATGTGTAAGAGCAGAAGTCACAACTCCCCTTGAGCTAAACGGATTTAGACTTCATTTACATAATTTTCAAAAATTAAAACAAATATTATATGATTTATAAATGCCGTCTTATACTTTTCAGGTTTCTCCTTTACTTATGTCATTGCTGCTATTGTTTGCGCAATATCTCGCTATTACCCTGTAAATCCTTGGTATTACATATTACCTGTGCTGCCGCATTCAATATTGGGTGGAAATTGTGTATTTTCAGTAGCGGCTTTCTGTTACATATCGGATATTACCGACACTAAAACAAGACCCTATAGGTAGTTGCACAAACATTACAAGAATTCGGTTCATGCATAAATGCGTATCGAAACTTAAATAAATTGGCGGAAAATGGCGGATCTCTATATGACATCGGTAGATAAATATTGAAAGATACCGTGGCGTTCTGTCCAAGATTAATCATGAATTACTAAGAAATATCGCGGGGTTACGTTCGGAATTGGTAATCAAACGCTCAACGGAATCGATTTAAAAGACATTAATACTAATCTGGCTACCAAAGCGCGAAGTATCTTGGAAGTCAATACTTAAGTAACGAAATGCTGCAAGCGTTTATCAACCGACTTTTTGTTTACGACCTTTTCCTTTTTTCGGACGGTATTAATAATATACACCCAATTCTTTTTTTACGTGGTGGGTGCGTTGCTTAGAAATTCGTGCAAAAAAATTGTGTAAAAAATATATGCGACGGGCATATGTTGCAACTTCAAAAAATCGTATAATTGAACTAAATATTTTCCCAAAAAATTATGCAAAAAAAGTAATAATGAATCCATGTATATAACACAAAAACTATTCATCTTTTTTACAAAAGGGAAGTTAAAATTAGTGTATACCGAAAATTCGCACCGTAGGTATAAGGAATAAAAATCAATCTTGAAACTGTTCTTGGCTTCCTAATAACAAGCGAGGGCGTCTATCATGAACTGAATCAAAATTGCTATCATCAGCAGACAAGCCAAATATGCCTAGCACAACTATCGGATTTGATTTAAAAGTGGAATTTCTTTCATTACTAAAGGACTCTGTTCATTTTGTTGTTGTTACAAACTCACAGCAATTTATGAAGCTGATAACATCTTCCTTTTTTTTTTGGTTTGTCAGGTTGTTAATATAACTCTTGATATCCACGTGTCGGTAAGACACTTTCAAAACTAAAAATTAAAAACATTTTTTTGGTTTAGATTCGTACTAAAACCAAAATTGGTGCAAAAGAAGTGTATTTTCAACTCCTCGCGAAATAAATAAGTATGTACTAACTAAGATTCATTTTCGACTGGAGCTGTGTACATAAGTTTCTATACAACAATATCAAAATTAGAGTTAAAAAAAAAAAATTGTTTTGGAATTCGCATTAGAAAAAAAATTATTGGTGAACCGCGTTATTTCAAAACCCTGTAAAAAAGAGCGTTTAAAGAAAGAGTTGGGTGTAATTATAGTTAATAGAAGAAGAAGAGTAATAATAACAATAATCATAACAATAAAAGGTTAGTAACTATACTGAAAACCAAGCTCATCTCAAAACACAAATGTAAGGCTGTTAATATCTGGGCGTTTGGTAATAGTAAAATGGAGTAGCACGGATCTAGATGGAACAAACAGAGCAATAAAAAACCCCATGTACAAGTGTACAACGTGCTCTACTCACGCCGAGCTAAAAAGTGAATCTACCTACCGCGGCAACTTGTCAGTCGTGGGATAATGAACTTATCGAGTCTACATGATAAACAATTTAAAAACATACTTTTTGCTTGCAAGCCTCATAGAAATGTTGGTAAAATTAGCTAAAAGCTACATACCAATAAATTTAAGTAGCAGCAGCCATTGGACATCAAGCAACGGTTATAAATGAGGTATCAAATGACATAAAATGCTCTCGGATTTTAAGGTAGGCCGATAACATCAAACTTATCTTCAGATCGAGTAATAGTCAAGACCACATCTATCTTCAGGAGGATGCCGTCGAATTTTTCAAATGGTGCTTTACTAATTTACGTTTAATGAGATATGAAAGTTATGTACAAATATAGGAAAAGTTAGAGATACATACTATATACCAGAGAAGGGACAGAAAGCAGTGCTACTCTCTACAGATTTCTACAACATCAATAAATACAATTACTATAATAATAGAATAAGTGAAATACAGCGTATGTATCAAAGGTTAAACAGAGAAGAGCCACTTTTTGACACCGATTGTTGTCAAATAGATGGAGCCGGCATAAGAGATCAAAGTTACGCACAACATAGGAAAAGTTACTATAAATCTCAGCTTGATGGCCAAAAACTGCCATAAAATGCCTACAGCACTTAGAGGTACATAATAAATACTGGAGAAGGCACAGAAAGCTGTGTTACTGTACCGATTTCTGCAACACTAATAAATAAAGTTGCTATAGTCACAGAATAAGTGAAACACAGAAGCATGAAGAGAAACATTACAAAGCAGCTGAGTCTAACCTCTTGATTTAAAACACCCAAGTATGGGTGAACTCCCATCCGTGATCTGAGGAACGTGGAAACTTGATAATAATAATAATTATAACAAAATTAATTACAATCACAGTAAATATATATGCATAGCTTACGCTAATTGCGATGAAAACTTTTTTGAAATATTCTCACAAATATCTGCTTTTATTAAATATATCCACTTTCGGATTGCGGAAAAGCAGCAACTGCTAAGATCAATGGTCTAAATTTTGCTAGGGAATTATGTATGAATCGAATACAATCGTGGTAAACTAGATTCTTTATTTTTCTTTTCACTTTTCTTTAGAATGATTTCTTTCGAAGTGTTTCTAGCGCTTGGTTTAACTAGCGGTAGTTTTTTGTCAAGTTTTGTTTATGCCGCTACAAATGCAACGACGACATTTGCAATTTCCGGTATCTTAATGGTTTTAGTCACTTCTTACATAGCGATCGCAGTCCCGGAAAGTTTGTCCATGAAACCAGCATGTGAAATTGAAGCTGACAAGCAAAT